AAGTACTCCAAAACTTCAAAAGAAGTAAACCAAACAGGATAAAACAGCTTCTCTCAGCTGAGGAAACAGCAAATAAATCATGTACAAATAGTGTCTACAAAGCACAAATCACTGTATTTGGAAATTTAACAAGAACTTTCAGATCCAAAGCTGAAACGTTCAAAGAAGTTTGCAGGACATACTTAGTATATTCTGAATTATTTTATTGAGGAATCCTGTCTTCTGTGAGCAATGTGAAGCAATAACATTGTTTCAACAAATGTGAAACCCAAGCATGTATTTTTATCATAAGATTTTAATTTTTGTTTGATTTTCAGAAGTAGGAGTATATATGCTGAGTCAATCAGAATTTAAAGGTCTGCCTAGTATGAACTCAAAAACTTGTAGTAAGAATATATACTTTAAATTCCATCTACAGGATAACTGAATATTTCAAATTAGAAAAAGCTGTTCCACTTTTCCATTGTGGTAAGAGAGCACATCATGCATTTTAATTACATACTGAAGTTTTTTGTACTTTTAATAACATTCTAGGTTCTTTAAACATTGTAGTCAAATTCTTATCCAGGCCACTAAAAAGAATACCACAGTTATAGTCTATACTTCTCAAGCCACAGTAATGGGATAGCAGTAATTTACAGTAAAGTCTGGTGTTACATTTAGCTGTACAACACTACTAATTAGAGAGTAATTTCAACAATAAATATTTAGTTAAACTTGACTTTGTCATCAATGCAAGCAATTTAAGATGAAACTGATCTTTCAGAGTCCACAGTTCTTTTTTTGAATCTATTTTTATTCTTCGGCTACTAAACATCTTTTCCTATGGAACATTTCACTAAAACTACTGCTTTGCAAACATAAAACCACATAGACAATGTCAGAAGCAAAAGAGAAGATTCAAACCTAGTGGACCAAAGCAATCCATAGTTCTCTTCAAACTGTCCTTAGCTAACCTTATTTTACTATTCAATGCCAAAATCTTCTAAAAATGACTTTACAGAGAGAGCACACAGGTTGCATCACTTAGTAACAGCAAGGTAAGCTAAAAGACAGGCCATATCACACACTTCAGAAAGAACACAGGGAGGAGAAACCAGGACAGACAAATATGAACACAATACCATAGTAGACACGAGATCAAGTAGAACACCCAGTTAACTCCTTAGACACTGACAAAGAAGCTGTCAGTATTAAAGAGAGGATCTTCCTGCAAAAAGCACTACATTGGTGAACAATAGTAGTACCTTATCTCCTTTAAGAAAAAAAACATATCCAACCAACCAAAGAAACAAAAAAGTAAGCAAAATACTACTATATGCTTCTGAGAATCTGCAGAGATAATCAGTTTTTATACTAGAGGCCAACTTAACCAAAGTCAGGCCTTCAAAGCATCTCATACTTGAGTCTGGTCATGAAACATTATGCCATCAAAGGAGTTAGTGATGTGCAGTGTAAACGGTTGGCATCTAACATTCTCCTTTGAGACCAACTTGCAGAGCTGCTGTAATGAAGTGTTCGTGTAGTGCCACTAAAACGTCAGACACTACTGCAACAGAAACTACTTTTTTCTCCCCAAGTCTGTTAAAATAAACAAGCCTGCATTCTTGCTGAGCTGTCCCACTTGCAGTACATGCAAGTCTATAGTTTCATACCATATATGGCACATACTTTCCTCATTTCACTAACCAAACAGAATGGCTATTTTTGGATTACCCAACAGTAATTAATAAATATTCTGTTGATATGGCCTTCACTTCCTCTGTAAATCTTTACAAAGCACTCAAAGACAAGGTGAAGTCTATGGAGGAAACAAGTTACCGGTAAAATTACTTTCACAGAAGAGTTTATATCACAAACTTCTTAAGTAAAAGTCAAAACATTTACTATATCATCAATATGTTCTTTCCTATATAATATTACAAAACTGACAACTTAAACCATGTAAACTTATCACATCAACAGCAAAAAAAAGTGAAACAAAACAAGGAATTTTGCCTGTTTAATAAATTCCTATAGTGAAACTTCTGATATATAAAAAATAGTTGACAAATTACCTTCCACTCCAGTGGAAGTCTTGAAGACTTGTAGAATTCAATCAACTATGACACCTGGATAACAGTACAATATCTTCTTTATCTATAAGAGATAAATTCAATAAATTACACCAAAAAATTATGCCACCAACCGAGTTAAAGAAACAGATTAGTGAAATTAACTGTGCTTAAATGATAAACATTTCCAAAATGTGAACATCCGCATAAATAGGAAGAGAAAAAAACCCCACACAATCTTTTAACCTGTACTTTAATTTTGTCCCTTAAAAAAACAGAAGCAGTTTATTATAAAGTCTAACACTCTTAAACTCAAGCAGAGTCTTTTCTTTCAAATTAGAAGGCCAGAAATAACCCCTTAAGATGCTGTTTGATTTCTTGTATAACACAGGCTATAACACAATCACACGCTCCCACATTCACTTTTCTTGTTCCCATCCTCCTTCTTGTGTTCAGCCATTGTGTGAGTATACAATGAACTGTTTTTCAACACTGCTTTTTTGGGGGTTAATTTTCCTGCAATGAGGAAGACAGCCCACCTTCCCTCTTCTCACCACCCCTTACTTAAGATCAGTTCCAGAAAGAAACCACCGTTTGAATTAGTACATCTTTCTCAAGAAAGCATTCAACCTTGCTTTAGAAATCTCTAAGGCAAATATGCTGTATACTACAACCTTTAGTAAAATTACTTTTAACCTGCTGAAATTTATACATGGTAAACTAAAATGCAGAAAACTTCCTCTTTCAATAGAGTAACACTACGCATTACAGATGTAACTATTAAAAATGTAAACCATTTAGATCCTTTTCCTGTCACTGAATCCTTTCATAGCCACTATTATTTGCTATTGTCCATGTTACATGTACATCTATCATAATTTTGTTTTGTTCCCTCATTTTTTACTCCTTAAATAGATCAATCTTTTGTAGTAAAACATGCTTCTCAGATTAATGCCGAAAGTGAACAGAGAATTCAAAAAGGAATCCCAAAAGCACCAACTACAAAAAGATTTAAAACATATGACAAGGTAAAAAATGTCATTTATATACCTAGTTTGATTTTTGAACCTCACTTGAAAGAGAACTTAAGTCCAAATTATTATTCATCACAACCCTCAGTAGCTTCTCTAAATGTCTTTACTTTGCAGAACACTCATTCTCCACCTATGGCCCACATTCCTCATCCTTAAACATGTGACTCAGGAGCTGGACTCATGAAAAAAAATTAATATTTTGCCTAAATCCACACTCACAAATTGATTCACATCGTATTTAATACAGTAAGTAATCCAATTACTCCTCAGGTTACCCTTTCTAATGAGAGCTCTTCAGTGTTGTCACCAAAACCCCACTGAGACATCAACAACTCTTCAAATTATATCAAAAAGTGATAATAAAGCTAAAAATTTTTGATTAATTGACTGCAGTTGTTGGAAAATTATCAAATTAGAAGTGGAACAAAAGGTCTATTTCCCAAGAAATGAAGCCTGGCATTTTAGTCCACATGGCCGTGGATGTTAAGAAGTTTGAACCCTCCTTCTCCACTTTCAACACATGTGCAGACAGAACATGTGTATTTTTGAAAGTCTTGTCCAGGTCATTTTAAATTATATTTTTACAACACAAGCTCATCTGCCACAGGTACAAACTCTGACACCCATAACCTCTGAAAACATAGAAAGGAAGATCATATTCTGAGCCCAAACTCAGCAGAATGTTGCAATTTAAGAAAGAGACAGCAGCTCAGCTTCCCACCACAGAGGTCAACATCAGACAGAAAACAGCATGGCAAGCAGAAACAGAAACTTGTTGGAAGGGAGGACAGTAGCAGCTGAAGTGGACACTTTTGCTGAATACCCTTCCAGGGCTGCTCCTGCATAACCCAGAGTGCCACAAAAAGTGGCCTGTTCTATAACTGATTGGCTCTGCAACTTAGCGACTGAATTTTTCTGCTGTTCGAAAAATGACACCGAAAGATGCAGCTTTTCTTTTGGATAGTCTCTATTAAAGAAGCACTTTCTCATTTCAACCTCTGCAGGACTGGAAAAACACAAGTTTATGAGAATTTGCTGAAGGCTAAGTTTTGTAGAACCATGCTTGTTGCATTTCACTAACACTCTGGAAGCACCCATGCTAGCAGACAGAAAATGAGGCTGTAAAACTAAGCAAAGCACTACATGTGCTTAAAAAAAATACAGATTATATGATTTTAATTGAAAATAGGTCTTGGACAGCTTTACAAGAAGTAAAAAAACATAACAGTTGAACTGCTTGCTACTTATTACTGGTATCAAAGTATCTTAATCTAAGTTTACTAGCTATTTCTTGTTCTCTGGTAGTGATTTAATTGAGAAGGTGGAAAGCATAATCATTAAGGTGACAAACCCTCAAACCAACTCCCTTTATGTCAATCAGCAATCATTCACAGAGTAACCTCCTTTAAGTCCATTCTAGCCATACACACACATGCACAGCACTATTAATATCAAAAGGGCTAAACTTCAACTCAGTGGGATCTTCACCTGTGGAAATATGCTGCACTGAAATAAGTTACCACAGTGTTAATAGCTCTTTTGAGACGATTCGGACTTCACAGTACTGTAATCAAAACCTTACAAAAGAACAACAGGAAAAGAACTTAGGACCTAAATTTATAAATAAAATATCATTTTTTAAAAAATATCCCAGTGCATAATGCTCAGAGGCCAGATTGTCACATCTTGAGAGGTGGTCTACGTTACTTTAAAACAGGAGATACAGAACATACAAGAGAAAAACAAGTGTAGAATCATCCTAACCCTGAAGAGAAGGGAAATTAGGAATGTAAAATCTTCCTCGATTTCATCCCTCTACCTAATTAATGATAAACAGCTTCAGAGCAGGGTCCTATCTAGCTCGTTTTTCTGCAATTGCTCACTTACAGCTGAAAGAGAGGAACAGCCCAAGATGCAAACAGATGAAGTTATCAGAACGAGGAGTGGTGCTCCGGGAGGAAAAAAGAATAGGAAACCGTCTCTCGCCATGCAGCATTCACACAACGGGTGGGGGGAGAGCCATCGATGGCCATTGGGACAGGTTTTCGGGGAAAAACACCCCTTTCTTTCTGGCCCCAGGCCAGGACCCAAGAGCGCGACAGAGGCGGTGACGGCCGCGGGATCCTGCGCAGCCCCAGCCGGGGCGCCGCGAGCTGCGGATCCCCGGCGGCGTCGGGCACAGCACCGCCCGCCGCGCCCGCCCCGCGAGGGAGGCTCGGAACCGAGCGGCGAGGAGCGGCCCCGCACGGCTCGCCCCGCTGGAACCCGCGCCCGAGGCTCCGGGGAAGGAGGTAGGAGGAGCCAGCCCCCGCACACCGAGCCCCTGCCCACCCGGGGCGGAGGGGCTGCGGCCGGAGCCGCCCGGAGCCGCTCGCCCCCGGCCGCGCGTCCTCGGGGCCGCTGCCGCCCCCTGCCGGCCCTGGCGCTGACAGCCCCCCACCGCCCGCCCAGCCGCCGCTCGGGGCCGGGAGGGAAGGAAGGAGGGAGGGGGCAGCGCTGCCCGATCACCCGGCCCTGCCTCCCCCCGCGGCCTCCGCATCCCGCAGCAAACGGAGCGGACCAGGGAAAACGCCGACGGATGCGGGGCAGAGCGGCCCCCACGACACACGCCCGGCCCCCCGTAGCGCTACAGCCGCCCGGCCCCCCACTCCCCGCCGCCCGCGTAAGCCGCTCTCCCGCGGGACCCCTCCCGCTCCCCCGGTACCTGCCACCCGCACGCAGCAGCCGCGGCGCCACACACTCCACAAACCCCAGCCACCGCCGTCAGCCCAGCCCGGGAGAAAACCCCGCCGGCCCCGCCCTCCATCCAATCCGCGCCCCGCCCGCCCTCGCGTCCCGCCCCCGCCGCCCGCCCGCCCGGGCCGCGCCGGCCCCGCCCCCGCTCCACGTCCGCCGCCATTGGCTGCCGCAGCCGTCAATCACCGGAGCGAGCGCTGCGCCCCCGCCCGCCGTTCCTGGGCCGTGTCCAACGGCCGCTGCCCGTCGGGGGTGCAGTTGGAGCTCGGGGCCGGGATGGAGTCCGGGAGCGTCGCCGGAGCGCGGGCACCGCACCAGGGAGACGCCTGCCCGGGAGCGCCGCTGGCTAGTCACGGCCCCGGGCGAATCCGAACAGGGCACTGGCCGTGCGCACGTTGCGGTGCCGCTCTCCCTGTCCCGCGGCGCCTGTCCCAGCGGTGTCTCCATACGGAACGAGCTCCTGCGGCTCCGCGGGCTGTGCGGGCGGGGAGGGGAGGCCGTGACCCCTCCCGGCTCGCCGCAGCCCTCGGCAGGTGCCGCGTCCAGCCGGCCACCCGCGCGCAGTGGGCACAGACACAGCGCAGGGAGCCCTCGGGGTCCCCGGGGCGGCCGGGCCGGAGCGCCCGCCCCGTGCGGCGAGAGGGGACGTCGGGGCTGGGATCAGCACCCGTGGGGAGGTGGTCGAGAAGTGGCAGCCAGGGGCTTCCCTGTGCTGCTGAGGGACAACGGGGCGTGAGGCGCGCTGAGAGGTTGGGGCTGGGTGTAAGGAAAAGGTTTTTCATGCTGAGGACAGCTGGGCTGTGGGAGCGGACTCCTGGGGGATTCCTGCTCCCAAGCAGATACAGTCCTGAGCAACCTGGTCTGACCACGCAGCTGGTCTTGCTGTTGGGCAGCAGGTTAAGGTAGAGACCTCCTTACAACCTGGATTTCCTGATGATCGTCCACTTACCTAAGGTTTTTGGATGCCTGTGTGGATGCTGACTGCTGAAAGGCCTGAGTATGGAAAACCTGATGGAGGCAAGTGCTGTGCTGCACAGGCTGCAGGCCCTGGGAGTGCTGTGGAAACAGAAAATTATTTACACTACATGCAGTCATACTGATTTTGCAAAATCCAGCACACAGTTTGTGTTGCCTGTACAAGTGCATCCCTTTTGTGCATTATAACCTAAAATTAACCACAGAGTTGTCACCTAACCCTCACATGTGTACCAGGCCACTCCTTTTTTGTAGTGCACAGAATAGATTTTTCTACTTTGGAGCAGAGCTGTGCAGTAAAATATGAAATTTTATATGTAATCCGTGTGTAATTTCTAGGAAAATTAGAAGTGGGGGAGCAGGATCACGACTGAGGCTGCTGACTGTTCTTCACAGAATTCTGAAGAAACTGTAAGATATTACATTTTCTTTATCAAAATTTTCTGCGTGATGCCTTGTGCCACATAGCTTTAATCTGATTTTTGTGAAGAGATTGAGGGATGTGTTTTCACAATGCCAATCTTAAAATGCTGAGATTTCATTAAGAGTATCTTACCAGTGAAAATGAAGTCAACAGGCAATAGACCGTGAATATTCTGGTATTTCATAATGTGTAAGATCGAGAAATTAAGTCCTGTTTGACACTGATTAATATTTTTTTCTTCAGTCTTGGTGCTTCAGAAGTAGAAGCAACCGTGCAGCTCATAGGAGTGCTGTTAAAGGAAATTAATGTAAGCACACAGAGAAGCAATGAGCCAGCAATGAATAGAGAGCAAGCAGTATTAGATATCTGTGCCTAATTCTGCATTGTTCATTCTGTGTCCACTGAAAGAGAGTAGGGACCAGTAATTAAAGAAGGAATTATAATGCATGTGCACAAGCGGTTTTAATTTGTACCAGCTATATTTCTTGATGTTGTAATCTTCATGTTTTATGTATTATATTGCATAATTTAAATAAAGCTGATGAATTATTTTTAGTATCTCTTGCTCCACGTTCAAAAACAGCATTAAAAAAGCCTTTGACTCAAAGAGGAGATGGAGTATCATTTTTCTTTTTCAGGAAAAAGAGTCACTGTGTTTTTCTCTTCAATGTAGCAGATGCTACAATTACCACGGCACTACTGGGTTGGGGTTTTACCTCTAGATGCTCTCTATATGCAGAATGGACTCTAAAACTCTGCGTCTGATATTTTCTGGTTCATTCCCCAGATGCTTTAATATCACTAAGCATTAAGAAATGATAGCAGAGCATGTGCCAGTTTCTCAAGACAATAATATAGCAGCTTCACATGCCTGCCTACAACCAGTAACTATGACCTATAAAAGGCTTAATTTACAGGTGCAACAGGACACTTGATCTCTGCTGCTTTCTGAGGCAACCTGAGTTTGCACCATCCAAACTGCTTTTTATTATTGCTAGTACCTGTGTGGCTGCCAGTATTTTATACCGTTGGCCTGAGCAAGTTTAATTGACACAGTACTAAAACCAGCTGCATCTGCAGCAATCTTGTCTTCAATAAGGTTCCCAATGTTGCTAAAATCAGTGGAAATGCCTGTAATGAAATTTCCCTTGATAAGAACATTCAGGAAGACCTCAAAGAAACCACTTCTTTTTTCCTCTTTCCTCAACAAGACTTGGACTCCTCTGCTCAGGATCCCAGTTAGAGGTGCTTCCCAGAGAGTTTTATTTACACTGATGTTTCTTCTCACACTGGTTTTAGGCTATTTGTTTATGGAGGAATCTGTTGCCTTATGGCAAACTTTCCTCCTCCAATGTAGAGTTCAGGAAAAATAAATAGTCTGGCAGTTTCACTGAATTAAAAATCTATGAGGCTTTTCTTTAAACAATATAAAATGTAATGCATTTTTTGGTGTGTGTTTTTTCTTAACTCTTTTTATTGTGAGACAAACATGTCATAAAGAGGAGAAGGATATAGACAATTTTTTAAGCAAAGTAATAAAACATATGGGTGGCCAAATAAAGTCTGTGTCATTTTGTCTGCAGCACATCAGGTGGTGATTTTCATAGCTGTGTAGTTTTCACAGAATCACAGAAAGGGTAAGGTTGGAAGGGACCGGAGTGGGTCATCTGGTCCAACCTCCCTGCTCAAGCAGGGTTATGCTAGAGCACATTGCACAGGACATTTCTTGAATATCTCCACAGTGAGGGAAACTCCACAATCACCCTCGTAGTAAAAAGCTTCTTCCTCATATTCAGGTGGAACAAACAACGACATTTTTGGGAGATGTACTGCTGCTGCACTAGCACTAAAGAAAAGCCATTAATGTAGTTTCAAATACTTTTCTCCATCCCCTTTCCACTCTTCTGAGTTTATATGTAAATTTTGTGTAGGTGCCACAGTGATAAGAACTGTTACCAATCTGTTGTTGCACTCAATATGCAAAATTTCTTGAAAGTGCTGATACAACCAACGCACTGTTTAACAGATAGAAAGACTGCAGCATTGGAGCTGTAAGTAAATCTGTAGTCAAAATGGCTCTTTGCACAACTCTTGCATCAGTTGGCTTCTTGGCTTTACCTAAATGACACCTTTATTATAATGTTCATTCTGCAGTCTCCACATTAACCTGATGGCACAGCCACGAACAGTGTCTTACAAAAGAAAATAAGGAAAAAAATATCCATTTCTAATTATAAACTATTTGAGGTTAACAGAAAAGGCATAAGGAAAAATATTTATACTGCCTTCTTGTATGTAAGGATGTCTTCATTATAAAGATTTTGAAGAAAAAATGAACGAAAAAAAGATCCCAGAAATGGCTGAAGTAAACTCAATAAAACCGCATAATCTATTACTAGTACAATAATATACCTTCTTTAGTTATACTCAATTATTTATATTTAGTGGTTTTGACTTTTGTTATGCAGCACCATCATTTTGGGTTTTAATGGGTAAATAAATTCCTGAGAGGGCTGGAAGTTGGTCCTGAAAGAGTCTATCCCTCCTTCTTCCATAAAGTTTTCTTACAGAGGGGAATAAGCTTCTAAAAGGCTGTTTTGTGGAAAGGAAATGTATTTTCTTTTTTGCCCAGAGGTTAGTTCCTGGTAAGTCTACTGGCATTCAGCAAGGGTCCAAGGCATTGGATTAGTGCCTGAAAATATCTTCCATAATTAATAGAAAATGTGCCAAGCATAAAAATATGCACTAGAAAAAGAAGCTCATTGTACCTGCAATTTTACTGTGATAAAACTGCATAATTGATGAAGACACTCATCACAGACAATATTTTCAATCTGTTGGCACTGAAGATTTCATGTGCCCATGAAGTAATATGGTTTGTATGCAGTGTCTGGAGCTCGAGGTTACAGGACTTACGCCCACGAGTGAAGTAATGTGAAAGGTACCCTTTGGCATCGCAGGAGTGGATGTTGCTACTACATTTGATTGCTGGTCGAGGAATGCCCCTTCCAACTGGGTACTTTTTAATGTGTGATTCTGCTTTTTGCTTCTGGCAGTATAACAGCACAGTGGATTCCCTTTGGCCCCAGGTTTTCACACATCAGACAGTCAAAAACAAGAGACAAGTTATATTGCTGCAGTGTGAAGGCATGAGTTTTCTCACACCCCAGCTGTGGTGCTGTCAGGGAAGACTAATGCAGCAATCCCACACTGACAGCTCCTATATGGTGATTATAAGCTGATAAATGTAATTGTGGGAGTTTGGAACTACTAAGATTCTGATCTTGCAGACACTACTCGTTAAAGGACTCTTTCCTGTGACTACATCTTCTGAATTGCTAAGATTCTTCTTGGTTACTGCTACACTGGCTTGAGGGCTGTCCTCAAGTTAGGACATGTTGCCTCTGTAGATGAGCACTGTCAGACGATACCATTAAAGAAAAGAACCTTGTTTTTATCTCTGGAAGAAAAGGTGCACCTTAAGGCCCTTTGTGCCTTTTATAGCAATAGAAGTTGTAGAGTCTGGAGTGTTAAAGGCAAAACACAAAATAACAAAAAATCCAGAAGATTAGTGGTATGTGATGTAAGATAAACACAGTGAATTTAAATTCTTTATTCAACCAGAGTTAAGTGGGCAGGAGGAAAAAAACACATGGAAAACACACCATGTTCATCATGAAATGGATATCCATAGGTTATACTTGTCTTTTGTCTTCAGATTCCCCATTTGTTTGATTCTGTGTTGTTGTTAAGTGTCAAGCCACAACATAAATTCCACCAAACAGCAAAAGACAACTAGTAGTTCAAAGTGATTGCTGATGTAAAAAGCCTGTGTTCTCTTGATATTGCTGCTTGGCACTGCTACCGACTGGGTAGTGAAGCGGATAACAAATATTGGCATGGGTAAGTGGCAAGTGTTGCTGAAGACCTAGATTTTGTTCGTAGAGCAAACATCCACAACAGATGGAAAGATCCAACCTGGCAGGCCAACTAGGGCTCAAAATCAGTTATGTCTAAAGAAATGTAGTTGAAACATTATTGTGTGGAGGATGAAAGACATTAAAGAAAGGAAATAAATTACTTATTCCACAGCTGCACCATAAACCAACAGAGACTTCAAGGGAATTTTAAGAAAAGCAAAGAATGGGTATCTTTTGTAACTTAGTAAAAACGTGATTGCTGCATATCTGGGATTTCAATTGCAAAGCTGATAATTCTCAATTCATATACTATCTCTGTTAACATGTCTAAGTACTGATGAAAGCTTCTGGACTCTGGGTGGAGAGAGTTTGTCTTCATCAAGTCGAAAGCCAGGATGGATAAATTTGGCACATATA